CATGGCATTTCTTTGCAAAGTTATACAATTTTAGAGCAAAAGCCCTCATCGTTCTTTCCTCAGTCAAGTCCTCGGAGCTACAGAAAGAAAAAGGAAAAAGGCATTTAGGGCTTTTGTTGTAAATTGTATAACTTTGCAAAGAAAGGTCGTGTAGAGCTGGATTTTAAACGTCTCATTTTGATAAGACTTTCGGGGGCTATACTTATAATTTATTTAGAAAAGTTTGATGGATTTTCCGAGGTTTCTGGAAAACCAGTTTTCCACAGACCGGCTAGGAAAGGCTCATGGGAAAAACTGCTGTCATATTCGGAATCAGCATAGCCGATAATCTATGACCCACTTGGTTTCATCCAAAAAATAATAAAATGACAGTTGGAAAGGTTCCCTCGTAAGTTTGATTTTAATAAAATTTACTGTTCTCGAATCTAGATATAGCTTTGCATGAATAATCTGAAAAAAATATTTTTAAGATTCGAGAGCCAGTAAAACTCGAGATCGTCTTTTTTGAGAAGTAGGGATCGGCACTTCCCGGATTTTTTTCTGCCATCGTGAGTGCTAAAATTCTCGCGTTGGTCTCAAAATGAAACCAAGAGTTGACACTACAGCCTTGCAGAGCGGATTTTGTGAGTTTTGGAAAGTTTTGGCATGATCATTATAAAGACGGGGAAAAACTACACTTTATTCTTTTTTCCTCGTCGCAGCTTACTATTACGGCCAACCTCTACTTTTCACTATCAAAGAATAAAAAAATTTTCATTCTGAAAAAACATATAACCAGTAGGGTTAGGATCAGTTCGTATTTTCTTGCAACCGAACCGGTCTCACCACTGGTGAATAAGCGTACTACTTTAGTTTCAGATCAGTAATGTTCTCTATTCTTTAGATGGAAAATTCTAAGTGATTTCATAACTCTATCACAGACTGAAAAGGATCAAAGGACTTTTAGAAACTGCTCTACCAGACAGAAAAAAATGTACGTATGTTACAATAGCGCTCACGCTTTCACATAGTGACATAATTATTTGCTTTTGCTTAAAAATGACCAGATGGCGTGGATTTCTTCAGCTATTATTGTTTTATGCCATGATCTGGGAAAGTGCAAAAAAGTAATAAAAATCTTTCAGATAAAGTTAACTGATAAACGGAAAAGCCAGTAGAGGAATCTCATACAAGGTGGCCCTATAAACTGGAATAGTTCGAAAGTCTGTAAAAAGTTGTATCTGGCTATTACAAAAAGAAACGTTTGAATATGCGGGATTGCAGAGCAACCCGAATTCTACAAAATGAGGCATAGTACGACTCTGACAAAACTTCCAATCAGTTACGACAACCTCAACAATCTTTATACACTATTATAAGTACTTACACAGAAAACAAATGCTGTAACTTTTATTATTTTTCTGCAATGACCTTTCACTCAAAAAGTTCCAGTCTATGGAATAAAACTTGGAATGTTTCTTTATCAAACAAGAAAACAACCTTAAAGTTTGGTTAAGAAATGACGGTTATTAAAATTTTTTATTGAACAGTGACTTTTAGTACACTTGCTGTACTCAAACCGTTTTAGGTTTCGAAATGGTTGCACTTCTCCACACCCGTTTAGGTTTCGTCATAAACCTATTTTTTTTAGAGAGTATACGCTTATTCTGGTCTTACTCTTCCGCGTGGAGACCAAATAAGATGGAAAGATCAAAGACCCACCATCTTGTAACTAGGCATCTCTGATCTAGTCGGTTATTTCAATAACAGATTCGTGGTGGTGGTAACTTCGACTCAGAAAACATTTATAACGGTATCGTAACCGTTACACAGTGGATGCTCAATGAATTTCTAATAATTCGAAGTTAGAAATACGATGAATATTATTACTAACTTTAATAATGATACCACTAGCAACAGCAAAAAATTAACACATTGTATGGCAACATGATAACGTTTTGTATGTAGATAAATAGTGTGTCAGAAATCAGTACTTATAAGCATGAGACAGAAAACCATACACTTAGTTTTCGATACTAAAATAAATATTATATATTACAAAGAGCTGTTTTATAGACTTCATGAATATTAAAAGTTCCACTAAATTTTTGAATAAAAGACTTATCTCGATTTTCTTCACAGGTTAGTGTTGAACTTTTATTTCTCTTACTCATTTGTGAGTATCGAAAAAGGTTACAAATGACACATAAAACATATTCTATTGTTCAATTATGCAATAATACATCTTGACTTTGACCGACGTGATGTTACAGCTGCTTGTTGTCTTTGTGCTGGACTAAAACGTCGTGCTAAACGTAACATTGGATCAATGTAATAATTTTTTATCCATATTGGTTTGTAAGTCATAATTTTATTCACTTGACGTTGAAGTTACGTGAAAGTTACATTGTCTTAAGGCTAGCTCATATAGCATTCGGAATGATATATGAGCTAGCCTTAAGAAAATGGAACTTTGCACAACAGAGCAGTTTGATTTTGGGATCATTCGCGCATGACATTATTAATTTTTGTACTCTTCGTCCTAAAATAATAAATGGTGAGCTTTTTACCTCGATAATTTTGAAAAATGGAGAAAAGATTAGCAGTTTTCTCGAAATTGTTTAGGTTAGTTGATGATTGCCCTTCCGTGCTAAAACTGATTACATAATAACGTAATCAGTTTCAAAATACTTCGCGAAAAATCATAAAAAGGATCCACCTTTTGCTATCTGTAAGGGACTCTTTTATTTTCTAGTACAATCTTAACTGATAACTCACTTCTTGAAAAGGAGAATAAATATCGCGTAGTAATAAACAGAAACGCAAACAAACAAAATATAGAAGGAAAACGAAACAAAATTCCTTCTACTTTTATGCTTGTATTGAGAAGGGTTTTATCTAAACAGGAAGACACAAACTATTTCTTTTGCAAATCGATAAACAACTCTTCATCTAATTTATTAGCAAGATCTGATAAACAATTGATCACTATTTCATAACCGTGGTGCTCTTCTTCTCCAAATATATCCTTTAGAATTTTTTCTAACAGTTGCATTGTTATATTCGCTTTAACGCCGTTCTCATCATAAATGTTAGTGGATGTGCTGTTGTTCGACCGGGACAAGATTTAAGACCACCAACTAAAACCTCAATAACTGGGTATCTTGTTAAAATTCCGTTGAGCTTGCTTTGAAATGCTTTCTCTGATGACTTGAATGTGCTAAGTAACTTGTAAATCACCCTCTTAATGTCTCACCCCCCCGAGCAAATATCAACTGCTATACACCGCTTTGCTATACACCGACATTATTAATTTTTGTACTCTTCGTCCTAAAATAATAAACGGTGAGCTTTTTACCTCGATAATTTTGAAAAATGGAGAAAAGATTAGCAGTTTTCTCGAAATTGTTTAGGTTAGTTGATGATTGCCCTTCCGTGCTAAAACTGATTACATAATACCGTAATCAGTACCAAAATACTTCGCGAAAAATCATAAAAAGGATCCACCTTTTGCTATCTGTAAGGGACTCTTTTATTTTCTAGTACAGCTATTGTTTGCAGCTATTGTTCGAAAATACTTCTGGTAACATTTTTCTTAGCTCGTTTGTGATTCTATTCTTAGTAATACGCGAAGTGATGACTTTCAGTGACATTTTGTGTTACTTGATGAAAAGTAACATCACGCTGTCTTCTTAATCGATAATAATGTATAACTCCGATGAACGAAAAATGTTTCATTAGTTTGAGCCCATGCGATTCACAGTGACGAAAATATCTCAGCTTTCGGTTACTGTGAGCCGAGAACGAGACAGATTAGTATTTACATGGTAAAATTTCATAATATGAGTTACCCAGGTCATCCAATAAACGGTAGTCCTGAGGTAACTGGACTCAAGGATAGTAAACATTATCGAGCTTTATCCCTCCACAACTTGTTAACGAGTTAGTTGACGGTGAAAGAGTGAAAAGGGCGGGTAACTCGAATAACTGAGGGTATAAATGTGGTTGACCGACAGGAAAACGGTGGTAGACTGAACCACTACATCACCATAGGCGACACTGAGTGAGGATGGAAAAACAGGAGGACTGCATTGCGGAATAAAAAAGAATTGTGCATATGTCGCGTTTGACGACAGTAGTAGTTAAAAAAAACTTGATTTCAGCTATACAATTATTTTGTTTCGACTACTGTTTTCTACATTAATCTTATTCTGTTTTTCACTCTGTGTTTGCGGGTTAAAAATGTCCAGTTGCTGCCATTTCCATATAAACTTCTGGAAGCAAACTTGTTTTGGAGAATGTGTTAAGATATACTGAACAATCATTCCCATGATTTCGATGGACGTTTGTGCATAGACCAATATTTTATTCTATTAAATATGACAAAATCTTCTCTTTGTCCCTCTTCTAAAATATGATTCTTGCCTTGTATAAAATCGGTCCGTTCACCATCAGTGAAAAAGAAAGCACCCTCAGCCTCCCAAACTGACTTTGTTCGCATTACCATGGCATCCATGGTATCTATTAGAAAACATGCTTCATTCTTCACGATGACTAAATATGATTCACCGTGTGGAACTGGTCATGTTGTCTTGAGCTTTTTTGTACTTTGTTTCATTCAAATCACTGTGATGACTAATACAATAAACAAATACGACACATACAAAAAGACAAAAAAGTTTTCCTTTTCTTGTTGTCGCAAATAGAAATAGCGGTGGTGTTCCAGTATTACGTAATCAGTTTTTGGGCGAAAGGACAATCATCAACTAACCTAAACAATTTCGAGAAACTGCTAATCTTTTCTGTTAATCATTTTTCAAAGTGATCACGGTAAAAAGTCCACCATTTATTACTTTAGGAAGAAGGGTATAAAAATTAATACTGTTATGCGCGAATGATTGTAAAATCAAACCGCTCTGTTGTGCACGTTTCAGCAGAGTACAGTGAAAAACTTTCAACCTGCTTGATTTTTCTTCTTTTATTTTTATTTCGTGAGTGTGTATCAGTATTAAAATACAAAAATGTTTTCAGCTGCTCTAATTGATGATAAAGTTTGGTTAGGCGATATACTTTCGTCCAAAAATAAATCAGCATTAGATGCATTAAATATTACACATATATTATCAGTGCTTGGTTGGAAACCTAAATATGATAAAATTGATAAAAGAATTCGAAAATATGTAATTGCAGCGGATGATGATACAACGGATTTATTACCTGAATTTGAACCATGCTATGAATTTATTGATCAAGCTGTCAAAAATAATTGTAATGTTTTGATTCATTGTCAAGCAGGTATGTAACTGTCAGTGCTAGATGTCGCACTCCGAGAGAGAAAAATATCCAAGCTTTTTGAGACTTATAAAACTAAGACAGCGTACTATATCTTAAACCTTTCGCCATGCTAAATAGAGGATGAGTCTGAAGGAAAGAGTTTGCAAAATTGTGTGCGGGGATGCGACAATTCTTCGCCTAAAAACTGCAATGTGCGATTGAACAACTGAAGACTCTGCCGGTCTATTTCGGAGCAAAACTTATGGTTGAGATGCCACTTTCCTTTTTCGTAGTAAAGAAAAGATATGCATTATAGATTTTTACTCTTTAATTTTGAAATAAAAGATACCTTTTCACCGTTACTCCGGAAAGGAACGGGAAAGTGCCACTCCTAATTAAGACTTGAAAAGCTTAGGTTCAGTATAACTACGTATTTCTGCAAGTTCCCACTGAGCATGCTATTTTCCACTGTTTCTTGTATGATATTTCTCCAATTTTTAATCCATTTTATGCCCAGGTGTTAGCAACATCACTAACTCCATTTTCAAGGTCATTTAACTTAGTATTAACAAATTCTTTTCTCAAAAGACAGAAATTTTTGGAAAGCACGACGTATTTTTAATTATGCTATCATGTTGAATTCTCTGTGCTCTTCTGAATGAGGTGCTGTTCAAAAGGATCGAACCAACACCGTACAATATAAATATTACAAGCTTAAAACTGGAAAATGTACATTCTTTTGACTAGTTTTTTCTGTTAGTTCAGGGAAATTTTGACGAGCTCAACATGAAAATGTATCAGCCACATTTCGTATAAATTTATTCAGTTTAGAAAACTGAATCAAATCACGTTGTGCTCACCGAAGTATATATTTTTGAGAATATTACCGCTTTAGATTAAGACCGCTGGTTATTTTTTCGAAACCACTCTTATAGCTTCTTTCTTTCTTTCTGTATCATTCTAGGTATATCTCGAAGTGCAACAATCGCCGCATCATATTTAATGAAAAAATATGATTTAACTTTCGCTGATGCTTTAAAAAGATTACAATCAAAACGTG